GACGTGTGAATACATAAGATTTGTGTGGCACTTGGGTGAGTTTCTCCAACTTTAATATGTAAAAAAATGCATGCCCAGACCTGAACACCAATTTGTCTCGTCTTTCTAATAGACAATTTTTTTTTACAAAGTTCTCATCAACGAGTTTTCTGCAACATTATAAATCTTATACAAAATGCGTATTTGTAGTTGGGGAAGATGCTAAAGAATCACATTCTAATGGGGGTAAATCGATGACTCAAGAATGACAATATCCTGGCTTTATGAAGTTGATAGAAATTTTAAATTACAACACATTCCTCCGTGTGATTATGATTTTATCATGTAGGAGCGCATGGTAAAAACTAAAAGGTAAAACTCTGACCGAATGATTCAAATTTTTATCAAATAACTATAATTATGAAGAGAAAGCCAGTATAAAGTGACAAATGGGACAACAATGATTCAGTTTATCAGCTGAGAATTCGATACATATGATTAATCATAACATGTCAATGTAAAGTATATAGCATGCCAATGTAAAGTATAAAAAAAGGTTAAGAAAGATTTACTAGCATGCCACTCAGATCTTTTTATACCTGATTTGAATTGTGCGAGAGAAGAACAATAAGGTGGCTTCAACTCAGACAATTGAAATTCTGGTTCTCTTGAAATAGAGCACCAGTGTCGGTTTTCATCAGGGAGTCGCAAAGCTTAATAAAAGTAGAAAAATGCGAGTTTCGTGTCTCCGTACATTGCAATCTCGTCGTTGCCTCCTAGCAAGCTCCACTAGGATTGCACTGAGGGTTCGATTGAGAGAGTGGATGCGAAGCAGGCGAGCGGGAGTTTTGGTGCAGGAGGCGCGATCGAGAGGAGAAAGGGGCGAGGGAGAGCTTCAATCGAGCGAGCAAGAGGTGAGCGGGGGTCTTCAGTGCAGCGGAGGAGAGGCGAGCGAGGGCTTCGATCGAGACAGGAGAAGACGAGCAGGAGTGGGATCGAGCGCTCTCGGTTGGTGGGGGAGTCGAGCGAGGCCCTTTGGTGCTTCGAGCGCTTCGATCGGTGGAAGAAGAGAGGAGACGGGGTCGAGCGGGAGGTCTCGTTCAATGTCTGCTTCGAGCGCTTCGATCGTTGGAAGAAGAGAGGAGACGGGGTCGAGCGGGAGGTTTCGTTCGATGCCGCGGGGGGTCTTCGGCGCAGAAAGATCGCTGCGAGGGAGATGAGCAGGAGTGAGCGGGGATTTCGTTCGCTGCCGAGGAAGGAGACGAGCCGAACTTCGATGCAGAGAGACGAGGCGAGGCAAGGGTCGATGCGGAGAGGCGAGACCAGGCGAGCTTCGATGCCAAGAGGCGAGACAAGGCGAGGTCCTTAGAGATGGGAAGAAAACGGGATCTTTGTATTACGCCCCTTCGATAAAGACGTTACGCTGGGAATTAAATGGATTCCGTTGATTGAGAAATTCCGTTGATTGAGAAATTCAAATGGAAAGCTCATAACACCTAATTAAAGAGATTGGTCGGACTTGGGCGGACTTTCTTTTGAAATTCGAAATTTAAGATTTAAAATTGTTTAATCCTTGCTCAGCCTGTATCAAACCCAAGTTAAATCTGGGTTGAGCCCGGACCCGCACCCTGCTAAAGTGCATCGATTTTCGTGTTAGTCGCTCGCGCGCGAAACCATAGCAATATGGGTATCCTTCTTAGCTAAAGTCGACGTCCTGGACGCATCCATGTGGTCCGTTTCGTCATCCTTCGTCATCCGGGGTCGTCCGGACGAGTTTGCCGGCGGGCGAGTCAATTCAAGTCAAAGTCGTGTGTGATGCAGCGAGTGCGGGAAAAGCGGCGTTCACGAATAATCGAGTCACAAAGGGTTCACCCAAGGCGTTCACCCAAGGCTGTTTGATCCTATAGGAACTCATTTCCGGGCCCTCTACATGTCGGTCCTTAGCCCTTACAACTGGAAGTTGAGTGCTTGAAACCACTCATGCGAGTTCTTAAAAAAAATGAGTCCAAGAAGTGACTTGAAGTTCTACGGGAGGTGGGCTTTGAATTAAATGGATTCCGTTGATTGAGAAATTCAAATGGAAAGCTCATAACACCTAATTAAAGTGAGATTGGGCGGACTTTCTTTTGAAATTCAAAATTGTTTAACCCTTGCTCAGCCTGAATCAAACCCAAGTTAAATCTAGGTTGAGCCCGGACCCGCGCCCTGCTAACGTGCATCGATTTTCGTGTTAGTCGCTCACGCGCGAAACCATAGCAATATGGGTGTCCTTCCTAGCTAAAATAAACGTTCCAGACGCGTTGGTACGGTCCGTTTCTTCATCCGAGGTCGTCCGGACGAGTTTGCCGACTGGCGAGTCAAATCAAGTCAAAGTTGTGTGTGGTGCAGTGAGTGCATGAATTGCGGCGTTTGCAAGTGTTCGAGTCACAAAGGATTCACCTAAGGTCATTTGATCCTATAGGAACTCATTTTCGGGCCCTCTATATGTTGGTTTTTAGCCCTTGTAACTAGAAGTTGAGTGCTTGAAACCACTCATGCGAGTTCTTCACAAAAATGAGTCAAGAAGTGGATCAAAGCTCTACGGGAGGTGGGCTCCATTATTAGTCCGCTATGATGGCCAACAAGGAACTCTTAAGGCTAGATTTTGCGTTCTGGGAGTAGGAAACTAAGACTTCACTAAAAATGAGGTCAATAATGTTAAAGCATATATTGCTCCCAAATATATATTTTAAAAAATATATTACTATAAACTTTTAGGATTCAAATTACTTCCAACCAAATATTAAAAAAAAATATATTTCATAAATTTATTATAGGAACAACCAAACAATCATGAGTATTCAAAATCCAAATACAGCATATTTAGTTTATATTGTATTTGAAATACTTATGTATTCTAAATATTTGTAATCAAATGATCACTTAATCTTGATACTTTTCATGGGAAAAGATACTTCATATTGCTAGTAGGATCTACCCATACTTTTATCTAGGTTAAAAGGTTTTAATAATGCGCTAAGGCAACAATTAGTTTTCAAAATTGCAAGATTATGAACGGCCTAAAGTAATGGTTGGATTGCTTTATGTTGACCTTCAGAAGTGCATGGGTTCTTATAAGAAGATAGCCACTAAAAGCATATGAGAGATTGCACCAAAGACAAGAATAGAAACAATCAAGTTCTTGATGTTAATCATTCTAAGATGGATTTTAATAGTACTAAGACAAGAGCAAAGGAAAAGAATTCCATAAAGTTGAATAGAAAAAATGGGATAAGCATAATAATGACTCCAAATGGGTGATAAATTAATTATTTGACTTTTACTTTTTTTTATCTACAAATCTACCCCATCTAGTCTTGAAGTAGTGTTATCCAAAAGTTTATCCATTATGATTTTAAATAAAACTTGACTAGTATCTTCCTGAATTCCACATTCCGCATCAATGCACATACCTAGAAGAAAATGCAAATAAATAGATAAAGATATAAAACAATTGATACATCTAAAAAATTACTAGAAATACAAGTAAGAGGATCCCTTGAAATTTTCTATTATAAAGTCTCCACACGTGTGGAACCCATGGCAAGGAAATAAAAGAAATAACCAACCAATCTTTTTAGAGAAATGGCTGAAATGCCATCAGGTTGGAGCCAAATATTGCTTAGCATACATTCATCGCTAGAAAGTCAACTCATTTGCTACTCGTTGTGGCTTTTGTCCGAAAAGGAACAGGGGTCAAACTATAAGGCTAAGACTCGTCCAAGAAAGCAATGTGGGAATTGACAACTTTAATGTTGGACTGGAAGAAGAATTTCAGGTAGAAAAGCTGATGTCTAAGACATTATAAGAGATTTATAATTATTCGACTATAATACTTGATGTATATGTTTTATTGAAAGAGACTCATGGGCAATTGGTCGACCATGATGTTAAATGTTTTTCCTTTTGTTGTGCAAAATATTATAACGACTTATTTCGCTTAATTTATTAGACACCATCAATTTCTTTTATAGTATTTTTCTTTTATAGCAACTCAAGGCTGAAAAAAGTAAGGCAGCCTCATCAACATGGACTGTCCTTTACCTGAGAGTCATGGCTCTTCTTCAAGAAAAAAGTCACCATGGCTTATTCGCCTTTTGCTTGGTCGAAATCACAGTCTTTAATCCCTAAGTTAGACATCCTAGTCCTCTATTGGATGAGTTGCGATTTAAGAAATGAGGTTTCTCTAATGTCGGCTTGGTTGTTAATCTAGACCTTGTTCTAAAGTTTTTCTTTTTTCTCTCTCCCTTGACTCCAAGACAGGGCATGATTACCGAGCGTGAGCAACCATTGCGATGACATAATGAAAGTATTTAATTATTGTGAGTTTAAATTAAATTATCACCATCGACAAACTATTTTGAATGGTAAATAGAATTGGCTCTTAGCTTTAAAAAAAATTTCACTTGAATATTTTAATTTTATAATTTTCTTAAAACTCTAATATTTTATCTTTTTTTGAATCATGGATGGAAAGAAGTTGAGACACAGTGAGAAGACGGATAAAAGATCTAAGGCTTCCATCAACACAGCCCAAAAGAGCTAGTCTCAATCTTCTCGTCATAATCAACCACAACAATTACAGTCTCATGAACATTAAGATTTAGGTAATCTTAAAGAACAATTCCTTTAATTTCCACTTTTAGCCCCCCCCCCCCCCCCCCCTCTATTATTAAGAAGTCTCTTTATATATGTATGATTTATTTTGAAGGTTCTCCTAATACTTTTATGACAAATGGACAAATTAATCATTTTACATCGCAAAGGTTACCTTCAAGTATAGTATTTAATTTGCTCTTCTCAAAAGCCTATCACAAATGCCAACAGCATAAAGCGTTATTTTGAAACTGGAAATTATGAGGGATCAAAGATAAGAAATTAGATAAAATCTGCTAATGATGTGAGCAATATTCAAATGCCAACTAACTCATAAGTCATCATAAATTTGAAATTGAAATAAATTAAATCTGGGGGAGTAATACCAAGTAGTTCTTCTCCCTGAGATAGTTGAAGGCTGCAAAAATGTCACGCTGAGGATACTTTTGTAGAGTTCTAGCAAGTAAATTTTGCACTCCAGGGGTTTTAGAAAAACTTAGGAATACAAGCTTAAGAAGCTCAATAGCATTAGCAATGGACAATGATTTGTATATTTGACTTAAGTTTCCCTTTCCTCTAAATTTGAGAAATTTTCCTCGAGATGAATAATTATTTAATTTGTTCTGATCAGTAGCAGAAGAAACAACTACTTTAGCAGGATCTTTCTTGTCACTGTCATGCAATACACCTCCAGCACAAGATGAGGCGCTACATTTTTTCTGTAAAAAATACAATTAGAACGGCACACAATTGGGATAAAAATTAAATAGTTTCTAATGACTTACAGGTCCATGAGAAGTAAAATTTAAGTTATCAGACAAAGGATTATGAGTCCACCCTCCGTCAGGTCTGCCTCCAACACTCCTAGCATCCTCCTTTTTTGCAAGCCTTCTGTATTTCAACACCTCATCAAGTGCCATCCTTACTTCAAAGTCTTCAAAATTATCCCAACCGTCATGTTGAAAATTTGATTTGCAAATATTTACACAAGAAACCGAGTCATTATGAACAGTATCACACAACATAAAACTTTCGTCAATCTTCTCAAAATTATCAATATCAGTGGATTTCTGGTCCGGCTTATTCCGTGAATTATCCAAGTAATGAGTATACCTTTCTCCAAGAAGGTTACAGAGTCTCAAAACTGCTCTTCTGATATTGGAGTTCTTATTCAAAGTGGTCATTCTTCTTTTACATGTGTTTGGCTGAGCTGGAAGATCACAGAGTGTAGGCCAGTCAACTCTCGAAAACCTTGCTCCAAGCATCGCACGATGCCTTGCATACTGCATAACTAATTTCCTGTGAAAAAAAAAAAACAGAAAGAAAAATGAAAAATTAAATTTAAAATTACAAATATGACCCTAAACAATACTCAGATTAGTTGTGAACAATCACTACCTATCTGAATTGTCAGTCCAAGAGAATTTTCTTTTACGGCTAGGCTTTAGCTCATTAAAAGCACATTTAGTGATTAAAGCTGCTGTCTCAGCTTCTTCACAGGGTTGGAGCTGAACTTCAGTAGGACTCAGTTCCTCGTCTCTACATGCTTGAACGGTACGGACATTTACAGCTGCAGGTGGAGAGCAAGAATCTAAATGCATCACCTCCTCATCAAACTTAAATGAGGTTTTTTCATCTGATATATTTAACTCTCCTGGAGGTACATTTTGGGTTTGATCACGCAATGTATGATTTGAAAGCCTCCTCATCTTTCGAGGAACAGGCCGAATGATGTTCGCATCGTCATTTTGTTCCCGTCCTTCATATTTCAAGTGATTGAAGTGCTTAGCAAGACGCGTTTGTCGGTTATCGTAGCAGACCCGGAGCACCTAAAACGATTTTTATAGCTAATAAATATCAATAATGCCATGCCATTCACATGAATACAAACAGACAAAAAAATAGAAATTATAGAAACTATTAAATGAGAATTTTAAGGAGGATTTTATTTGAAAGAGGATAAGGAACAATAAAAAGAGGTAGACTATTGATTAACTCAAAAAAGTGAAGTAGTGTTAAGCCTTTTGGAGCAAATGAGATGTCTACTTACCTTTTGTAAGTTATGTGAAGGCATTACAATGATTTTGCTAAAACATATTTTTAATAATATTTTGAGAATTTGAGATTATTCAAATGTTTAGAGAAATTGTATTTCAACATAAATAATTAAAAATAAAAGAAATTTAAAATTATGCTAAATATAAAGGTATTAAACTTACAAATCATAAATGAAGCAATAAGAAAAAGAAATAGAGCATAAGTTTAGAAAAATGACAATTTTAAAAACTGATGTAGTTGCAAGAGATATTTTAGTAAAACAATTAATAAAAAATCAGAGAGACCAAAGAAAATATATATTTATGTAATTTATACTGAGACCTTAAGAAAGCATGTGATCATTTAATCTAAGTGCCATGAGAATTGATTCAGTGCACATTAAAGTAAGAAAAAAAAACATGCCAAATGTATATAGAAATTTTTAAAAATATGTATGATAGAGCATAGGCTATTGTTAGAAGTAGTTTTGCAATGACCAAAAATTCTCCATTTACAATAAAATATATCAAAAACCAACACTGAATCATATACAGTCATATTGTTTATGGAGATTTTATATATGATATTCCAAGTAATGAATTGGTGTTTGTCTTTTAGCAAATGAAAGTTATAATAAATGACCTATTCATTAAAAAATAGGTTAAAAATTAGAAAAAAGAAGAAAATTTTCAGAAGATAACAGGGATTAAAATATGCTAAAAAAAACTTAGCATTAAATCTACAAACTTTAAGTGTGAACAAATAATAATAAACTAATACAATCAGAGGAAAAAGTAACACTTAGGTGTGACAGGTTTCATTATCTAGAATTTAGTATACAAAAGAATAGGAATATAAATGAGGTTATAACATTTAGAGTTAAGCAAGTGTGATTAAAATAAAAGTGCTTCAAGGGTATTATGCAATCATAGGATACCAAAGATACTTGAAGGATAATTTTAATAAAATAATAATTATATATGTAATACTATATGGATCTGAAAGTTGGTCAAAGAAATGGTCATTGATATCCGCTGTGGACATGAAAAAATGAGAATGTTAAAATGAAAGCATGGCAAACAAGTATAAATTTAAAAATGCTAATAATAAAATAATGGTGAGTGACATCTATTCAAGATGTGATAACTGAAAATAGATCAAGAAGATTTGGACATGCTGTTATAAGTCATTGGTTCTAACACAGTGCTAATGTTAGAAGTGCATGACTATTCTCCACCTGCACCCCTACTAAACCACATCAGCAATCTAAAAATTATTCATAAGGCCTAAAAATGAGTCATACTTTTACAATGTTAGGTACCCCATGGGCATTTTGCTTCCTCAACTGATCTAAAATGTTTTACAATGCTCTAAAAATAATTCCAAACTTTCATCCACTTAAACGCCTTTAAGTCACATCAAATACAAAACAAAGACAATAGAAAGCATCGCTCACCCAAGTTACGGAAACTCTTTAAATTTGCACAGCTCCTAACTCTCTTCAAGGAATGCTTACTTCTATCACTTACTAAACTACTCCAGTTAAACAAGCATCAATTTCATTTATAATAAGTTCTAGTCACACCCGTGAACACTATGCTATGATTGAGTATAAGAGAATCAGTGATAATTGAGTAAATTAAAAGCAAAAATTACCTTCGAAGGCAAAAACTAGAGGACAAATAAAAATGAAAAAGAAAAATATTAACACATTTAAAGTGATACTTCTGAAAAAGTAAATGAACTAGGCAAAACCATTTTTTAAAAAAGCCCACTTTCATAGCAAAATCAGCACAACATGAGGTAAAAACAAAAAAAATTGCAAGATAAGAAGTAAAAATGTAACAAAATAAAATTCGCATGAGAACAAAAGAAAAAAGTATCCTTCTGCAAAAAAAAAAAAAAAAAGACAACCATATAAACTATCATTCATAATGCCTAACTTAAAAGCTTGATGAACAGTGAAAAGTGAAGATACTCAGACTCCAACAAAACCATAATGACGCTCAAGGACAAGAATTGAAGAGAATTGATTTGAGTTTCATTTTATCATTTGTGCTCAATTTATACCAGTCAAGAAAACCATCTAGTAGGAAACCTACAACATTTAAGAAAATTAAAAATAATTACAGAATAAATTATAATGAAAGCACCAGGGATTTGCGAAGTGGAAACAATAACCCCATCGACGAAATAGTGGCACAAAGAGAATAAGGTGGAATGCTAATTATATCAGCTATCAAAGTGGAATAGTTAATGGCATCGAGCTGTCTATGCAAAATAATGAATGCGAAGCAGTGAGGTCAATAGAGTAAGATGGGCAGTGAATTCTAAGCATGGAAGGCAACTTGCAAGTGAGATCCTTGTTACATACGAAAGGATAAACATTTACAAAAGGGGTAAATTTCCAAACATTTCAAATCTCTCACTCAAAGTAAATGAATAAATGTTATCTATTCCAAGTTTACAAGCTCACTTTTGAAAGTTTGCCACTGATAATATATTGGTGAGAATATCGATAAGTCAAGAATTAAAAAGGAAAAATTAAAATTGAGGCATTTTATCTTATTGAGGCAAGGTGTAAGCCTCAAGATAGATCGAGAGGCACGCCTTAGATTAAATAAAAAAATCATAAAATTAAAGAAATTTCATATATATGCCAACAAATAATTACCTAAATAAAAAAATAATTAAAAAAAGTAAAACAAAATTCATTAAAAAAGATAATAAAAAATAGTTGATGAAAAAAGTAAAAAAAAAAAAAATCAAATTAAAAAAAATAAAAAATAAACTGTTTAACAAAAAAATGAAAATAAAAACAAAAATATTAAAATAAATAAATAAAATATTATTTAAAAAATAACTAAATAATTAATTTGATATTTTACAATAAACTTAAAAGAAAACAAATTGCAACCGCTACCTATAAATAGTTTAAACTCTAAACTTAGAAGCCTAAACTCTCTTATACATTGCTTAATAATATTTTTAAGACTTAAGTTCAAGTGTTTGCCTCATCTGCTTTGAGGCATGTAGTCTTGAAGCATAAGTCTCAAATGTAATAGGTGTAAACCTCACTCAAGCTAGAAAATTGTAAGCATATAAGTGCTTCATGGTAACCTCATTATAAAGCACATCTTCAGGCAAACAACATTTCAAACAAGGCAACTAATTGCTCACATGTGGCAACCAATGGAGTACACATTGTCCAACTTCCACCATACAAAATGTCTATCAACTTCAATATGTTTCATTCGATCACTTTGCATACAATTCATGCAATGTTAATGAATGACTAGTTATCATAATAAAGCATTTGATCTTTTCACTCAATCCTCAAATTCACCGAGATAATTTTTAATCATAAGAACTCATAGATCCCCAATGTCATTAATTTAAACTTCGCTTTTGAAATGGATTTTGTTACCATATTTTATTTTATTTTTAATTTATCCATATTACTAGTTTGTCCACATAAAACCCACAATTTCCTAAAGTCAAACTTTTATCAATTATAGAGTATGCATAGCCGGCTTCCATATAGGTTTTAAGAGTCAGATCATTCACCATTTTGAATAAAATTCCTTGCTTGAAGATCCTTTTAATTTATAAAATTTAAAGCATTGCCATAAGCTAAGATGCTTTAGTGTGCATAAATTGATGTATAGCATTTAACAACGTATGTAAGTAAAGTATAATATATCACAGTAAATAAGTCTTCTCACAAGTCATTAATAGGAAATTGTTCCTACTACTGTGTCCTCTGAGAATCGCAAAATTTATAATTAACTTTTATGGGCGCCCAACTCGCCTGCTTTTCAATAGGTCTAATATGTATTTATGTATGAACGAAAAAAATCCCGAATCAAAATTTACAACCTCAATACCAATAAAGCAAGTTAGTTTACCTAATCCTTGATTTCAAAAACTTGGGGCATCCACTTATTTAAAATTTTCATATCTTCCAAGTCACTTCATGTTACGACGATCTCATTGACATTAACTAGTAACACAAAAACTCATAAAATTGTGTTTCACAAATAATACATGGTTTCCTTGACTTTATTCGTATCCCATGTTGAGCATCAACATGACGAACATCACGAATCATGCCTTATATAGTGCTTCAAATCATTTAGTCATCTTTCAATTTACACATCTTTGGTTCTATGATTGAGTCAAACCCTGATGGGATCTACATATGCACATCCTCCTTTAAGTAATCTTGCAAAAATGTATTATTTCTATTGAATTGTTGTGTCTCCAAGTCTTTGTTAGTTCTTGATGATGAAATAACTCAAATGGTGTCCACTTTATCAACTAGCGTAAAATTTCATGAAGATCAATCCCATATGTTTTAGTTCAACACTTTCTAGTTAGCCCTCAAATTTTTACATTATAGTAAAGATCAATCAACATCATACCGGTCTTGTTCTTTTTGGCAGTACCACAAATTTTCATGTTTTTTTGTAAGGGTGTCTATTTTTCCTTCACAGTATTGTTCAAATTCAAAATATTTTAAACCTTAGAGACTATTTTGAAGGTGAAAATAATATAGAAGCTGGAAAGAAAGAATTGGTGATAAAAAGAAAGATGCTTAAATGATAAGAAAAAAAATTTAAGAGAAGTTTAGACGAAGTTCCCGTAATTTTGTTAGAAGGCTCAATGGTTGCATCAACAACATCAATGCTTGCGATTGATTCAACTTTTTATCATCGAGACTGAACCTTTCATGAGGCTATAGGCAATCATAACTCCCCCTCTCTTCTTCACTCACATTAAGCACTGACTTCATTTAAGAAAAGAGCAAAATCCTTCCTGAGGATTTGTGCACTTGCAGAATTAAATCCACATTTAATACAATAAAAAAAATTATAAATTCAATCTTTTCAACAAACCTTTTATAAAAAGTTGCATTTTTATCACTATTTATTTCAGTTTCCATAATTTAGTGGAGTGCTCATAATATACTTCCGCATGCATTGGAAAGACATTTCACAAGTGAACAATTTTATAGAATGCTAAATATGATATCTAGAGGTGTGTAATCAGTAAATTCAGATGGATTGGTTGATGTATTTGTTAAAACAATTTAACCAAATCAAATAACAAACTGAACCGAACTGAGTAGAAAAATATAAAATCGAAGAAAAAAATAATTCAATTTATTTGATCCGGGGTGAGTATAATTGAACATTGAAAATCCAATAAAAGGGTATGCATTTAGTCAATTCAGATGGTTTGATTAACAAATTTATTAAATCAATTAGTTGACGGAATTCATTTAACCACAACATAGTTTGCTATTTTTGTTTAATCAAAATTCTTTTTCTAAACAGAAACAGTAATCTAATTCAATAAACCAAACCGAATGAATTAAATAGGCTATTCATTTTTTTGGTTTAAACAAATTAATGCACACCCCTATTATCAAATGTTACTTCGGTGTACTAGCCATAAAAAAATTTTACAAAACATGTGGCAAAAAGAATGTTAAAATATCGTGGTACGGATAATTGAAAAAGAACATCATAACTCATTAGAAGAAAACTCAAGTAAAAAGGTACAGAAGATGGTGTTTAGATCAGGATACCGACTTGTTCCAGTGTCAGGTTCAACTCCCTGGAAGTCTTTACACATTTACTGAATGAGATTTTATTTGTTTGATCATCAGTTTTAACATACTTCAGCAGCTTCAACCTTTGCTCAGTAGTCATAACTCGAACAGAAGACCATGAGCGGCGATGAAACACCTATAAATGCATAATCCAAACAAATTCATGGATGTTGATGAAGTTATAAAATAACAACAAAAAGTTTGGGCATTTTTTTAGGCAAATAAAGTGAATAATCATCTATTTTTCATAGGGAATGCAAAAAAACAAGCTAGCCAAACAAGGCTACACACAAGCTCAGAAATACAAACTAAAATTTAAACATGAAGTTTTCACAATTACCAAATTCTACTTGGAAAGCGGTTTTAGACCAGATAAAAATCTAAAAATACCCAAAAAGTGTTTGGCTTGGTTAACTTTTTTTTCTAAGATGTTCATAGAGTTTCTACTTTTGTGTAGGGTCACATCAAGTTAAGTTTGACTTGAGTCAAAAATTGATTGGTTTTGAGCTAGATTTTTGCGCTAATTTGAATAAAATCTATTAATTTCATAAAACACTTGTAATCACTAATTAAGATTATAAGCAACATAAAATTACTATATAAATGCATGTGGAAAACACAATGTAATGATAATACTCACTCGCACAAACAAATATGGGCATATATCATGTATCAAGTCAATTTTGAAAAGAATCAAACTTATGCTAAGTAAGACATCTTTATATGAAAGCATATCAATTACAACATTGATTTAATTAAATTTTGGTTGAGTATCAAACAAGCTTTAAGCTCTGGTCAGCATACTAGCCGCACTTTATCACTAGGCAATCTCAGGCCAAAGGAAACAAGCTAACTGTGTCCCAAAGAAATCAAAGCAACAACATGGCAACGGAAATAAAATAGTAACATGTGAATGAGAATAAACTAGTTATCTTACCTTAGTAGAAAACTATTAATAATCCATTCACTATAAATATCAATGTTACCATTAATATGACTAGAGCCAAGTTTCCACAAAGGAAATAAAATTAAAAGCCGCAATAGAATTGGCATTGATCCATCAAATAAAGGTCAACTTATACCTTAACAGCAGTTTGGAAAATTTCTTTTATTTGAACTAAGCCGGGACAAAGTTTATGAAAACATCCATAACAGCAAAGCACTTGCCCATGCGACCATAGCATGGGCATAAATACTTCAATATAATTTATATATAAATTAAAGAAACATTTGTATATATATAGATTAAAGAAATATTTGTATATATATAAATTAAAGAAATATTTGCATGACCATAAGCAAACCATTTTTTTTTTGAGTAACTATATTTATATATAAATTAAAGAAATATTTGTAAAACAATTTAGAAGATTTTTTATGTGTGATTAGAATTGACTTGATGGTTATAGATTTTAGTTTCCATTGAATTTCTAAACTCTAAAGGATCATGCATTTGATCCTAATTATTTGGATGATCATGCATATGATAAGGCATGGCTTAATCATAAGAAAGTAGTTGCTGATAGTCATCATAAAAAATCTTGTTATAGCCACCATTACAACTTTTAGGTAGAATTCAAAATTTAAAATGACATAAATGATTAACAAATCATATATACAGACCGGGAGAAATTAAGGTAAATATGAATTAATCAAACATAAAATGTTCCAGTTAGTCATTTTCAGGATTTGACTTGCCAACACTTCTTGTGATCATATTCAGTTGTTGAGAAAGTGTTGCAACTGATGTGAATCTTACAAGTACCTCTCCATCTCCTCTATAAAAGTCTACTAAATTTATGAATCAAAGGCTCTCATCAACTCATTTTGAAAATGCTTTTGAAAGAAATTTTCAAAGGATAATTCAACTAATGCATTCCTAAAGAGCTTCACCTTCGTACCATCTTTTCTCTTCGAATCTCCAGGAATCTTTAAATTGATTTCAATAGTAATATTTTAATATTACATATTTGAGATTGTTTATATTTGATTAGTTTGTGATTTCTTTTAGCAACCATAAAAGTCTAAAACAAGACTGGTTAGAAGCTTTTGCCTTATATAAGGTGCTTGGGTGCTTAGCTCGTAAAGATATCTACATAGGTTGCACTTGACATCAAGGTGAGTGTGTAGGTTTTAAACGCTTCTCCATTTACTAAATGAGTAAATTAATTGGGTATGTAGTTACTAGTTTGATAGCTTAATCCAAATATAGTGTAGTAGGTGTGGATGTTGGTTGCTTAGATGTCGAACCACATAATTATTATGTTTCAATGTTGTTTAATTTAGATATAAGTTCTTGTTCATTTATATATTTTACTTTCTTGTGCTTGATTGACATTGTGGTGAATGGTATAATTGAACTCATGCTAAGCTTAATGAGAGCAAAAACCATGTAAGTGCTCAAATTGATAATAACTCTTATGCTACCACAATTAGATTAACTTCACCATATCCTTGCTTTAAGATTTAGGGAAAACTATATACTTAGAATTTGAAACTTTGTTATTTATCAAACTAGAATTTAAATTATTTTTTGAGCTATCAAACAGGTGCATTATGCGTGCCACAATTTAAAAATTAGGAATTAGATAAAAATGAAAAATATGGGTTGGTGTTTTACTGTGAACTTTGATATTTGGGTGAAAAATGGATAAATGGGTCGCTAGTTTTGTAAATAACAAAGTTCCAAGTGTGATGTCTGTAATTGCTCCTTAGATTTAGGACTTCGGTGCTCAGTGTATTAATTGCTTTAGCTAGTGCAATTGAGTCATCGACATGTATTGAGCTTAAAAATCATAGATTTAGCCTTCTTTAGTTCACTTGTGTGGTGCAATACTTGTGGGGGGGTTGAAATGTATTTGCAAGTGTATGTGATAATTTTTTATTGCAATATTATTTAATATGGTCAACAATTGCTGCTCTAATATATTAAACTTCCATATTTTATATAGTTTATCAACTACATTTGCAAACTTTGGGTGAACTTAATTATATATTTAATTGCTAAATAAATTAACTTTTATTTTGTTTTATTATGCGGGCTTTGAATAGGTAGGATTTCAACAGAAGTTCAACTGGTTGCACTCATCTGATTTAGCTTCGCACTCTTGGTGTACCCCACTGTATAAAATCTAGTTAGCATGTAAAAATAGAATGATTGAATTCAATATAGGTTGTCTCAAGATCTAGGACTTCCTAATACATATCCATAATTAGGGGTGTAAACGAACCGAACACGAACGAACAAAGCTTGTGTTCGTGTTCGGTTCGTTTAAAATTTAGTTTGTTTGAAATAAGCTCGTGTTCGTTTCTTAACGATCGCATTTTCACCCGTCCTTTGGGCTTAATTGAAATCCGATTTCGTGCAAATTCGTGAATTTCGTGTATTCTGTGTGTGCACGTGACGAAAAAGATCGTGACGATGTTTTCCTAAGGCTTGAAGTCCTATTTGGAACATTTTCCTTGAATCTTCACAAAATAGCCCATGACCGCTCGTTTATAAGACGATGGTCTTGTGCCAAAGATGCTAGACATCAAAGGAAAATAGGAATTGGCTGGAGCTTCTAGAAGGGTGAGTCTCAATTCTAGTTTTCTAAGATGGTCCATAGGGATTTCTAGAGCTAGAACCTAGACTCTAAGGAGGAGAAGAAAAGACCTCACAAAAATGAGGTCAACAGTTGTCTCAAGATCTAGGACTTCCTAATACATATCCATAATGAGATCCTCAAAATCCCACACTATCAAATTTGCAGATCACGAATATTTAATCAGAATATTACAAACCTTTTCAGGTAAAAACCAAGAAAATACAGTTCGAAAAATAATAATTTAATAATCTAATAGAAATTCATAAACACAAAAGTTAACTAATAGCTACAAAATAAGTGAAAAAGAATAAGGGGCAGAAGATCACAAAATAGAACCAAGCCTCAGGAGTACAATAAGATACTATCTCCCAAAAAACTTACATTTCAAATTGCACTGAGAGAACGCTAAAAAGAAAAAAATCCAACCAAAAATTCATTCAATCAACGTAAAAATCAAGCAGAATCATGTAGGATGCCTTCTACATGTCTAATACCCTATATTATGATAAGGAAATGTCCCTCAATTTACAATAAAAATTTAGAATTCCAGATCACAATCTTATATAAACCAAACATCAGCTAGATAAGCAATAAATCACAAAACAATTACAGACCAAATTGAGATGAATCGAATAAAGGAAAAACATAAGGTGGTAGAAAGGAGCAAGTTGAAGAAATTATGATCCCATAAAAAAAGACATTAAGAAAGTGAAATCCTCCGAGAACCTAAACAAGGAGATCACTAGAAAGCTGAAGGAACCAAAAACCTTGTAATAAATATAGTTGCTTTTGGTGACGAGCTGAATAGTTTACCAAAAATTTAGCAAAATAGAGATAAGGGCTTGAAAAAGGCATTTCACTTTAATCTGAAAAGAATTAAAAAAGAAATCAACAATGACATCATTCAGTTGATGTTTTTCGAGCTGATTTGAACAAAATTAATGAACTCCCACAAAAAAAAAAAAAAAATCCACAAATCTTCACATATAAACTTACTGCTCGACTTTATAAAATATATTTGATATCCATCATCAACCGTGGATATAATAGCATCTCCAATAATAGCTTCAGAAGAAAAAAGGTATGAAAGCTCAAATTTTATATATATAATATGCTATATGTGAATATCGATGCAAGAGACGAATAGGCTAGTATCCACAATCTTGATTAACAGTTTAAGATATAAAAGCGATACCAAAGCATTACAAGTGAGATAGATGCCATATCGAACTTATAAGCATTCACCTCAATATGTTAATTGACTTTATATGGTTCTATCTTTGAAGTAGTTAATTTCAAAAGATGCTTGAAAGAAACCTTTTAGGTCTAAATCAACAAGTTCCTTATCACCCATTTCTGTAGATTCCAACTTATATCATTTGTAGAGCTATAACTGTCACTATTAAAATTTTCACACAAATGACTTCGTGAAATAACAATTAAATGGTGTTATATGAAATGTGATGACTTCTCTAGATAGCATACAAATCACACAAATACGATACATCTATCATATGACCAAATAGCCAATTAAAAAAAATAAAATAAA